TTCCCTATGGGGCCACGAAGCGTGTGAGGGGTCCGCCGAAATGGGTTTGGGGGACACATGCGGGCACCCCGGGCCTTCGGTGGAGTTCCCGATGGGGCCACGAAGCGTGTGAAGGGTGTGCCGGCACGGGTGTGGGGGGGACCGCATGCAGGCACCCCCATCAAGGCCTTCGGTTGAGCTTCCTATGGGGCCACGGAACGTGTGAGGCGTGTGCCGGCATGGGTGTGGGGACCGCATGCAGGCACCTCCATTAGGACCTTCGGTTGAGCTACCTATGGGGCCAGGAAGCGTGTGATGGGTGTGCCGACATGGGTGTGGGGACCGCATGCGGGCACCCTCGCTAGGGCCTTCGGTGGAGCTCCCTATGGGGCCACGGAACGCGTGAGGGGTGTGCCAACACGAGGTTGGTGACAGGAGGAGGGAGGAGGGGGGATGAGGAGTAGAGGAGGAGAACGCGGGGATTTTTTTTACATATATATATATATATTTATATATATATATACATATATATATATAACCCAACACCACAGGACGGTTGGGAACAATTGTTGGCTTTAGCTGGGCGTTTACATTGGCCCTGAAGTCTGTGTGTTTGGCTGCGGTCGGATGAGCAAAAATAAGTGCACAGGGGATATTTAATAGGATTTCGCCGTCAACGTACTCGTCCCTAGTCCAAATCTGGGGGGGTGCGTCCGTGGGGCTCAGTGCGCCTGGTCGGGAGCTGTGGCAGGAGAGTGTTCACGTGTACTTTTGGCTTAAGAAAATGCAATTGATTCACCGCTATTCCACAATCCTTTTGGTTGAGGGCTGAAACATGGAAGCGCGGAGCTGCGTGCAGTTCCGCAGCCGAAGAACCACTTCTCGACTTTAGCAGCGGAACGACGTCGTGATGGAGCAGCAATTGCAACCGCAGCAGCAGCAGATAGCTGACCTACTGGCCACGGTGCATCAGCTGCAGCAGCAGCAGAAGCAGCAACAACAACACCAAGCAGCAGGACAGGCAGCTCAACAGCAGCCAGTTCGCGTCGCCCAGCGATTCGAGGGAGTCCTGGACGTAAATATCATAAGGAAGGTCAAGCAAGTCGACGGCTCGCGGAGCGCATGGTCGACATGGGAGTTTCAGTGGCGAGCGTATATGGTGGCGAACGACAAGCGCTACAAAGACTTCTTCGAGAAGCTAGATGACAAGACCTCGGACCAGCTGGACGACGCCACGAATGCCGCGACTAGCGTGGACGATGTAGACTGGGAGGACCTGAGCACACAGCTCTACTGCATGCTGGAGCTCGCGGTGCCAGAATATTCAGCGGGTGAGACCATCATGCGTAACGTTCTACACGGAGAAGGTGGTCAAGCGTGGATCCGCCTGAAGGGCGAGTATGCACCCAATGAGCCTGGCAATGTCGTGGCGCGTCTGAGGCAGCTCATGTCGACTCAGTTCGTGACGAACGCAGACGTGGCCAACGAGATCGAGAAGCTGGACCTAGAGACCAGCAAGTATGAGAAGGCGGCCGAGGAGCAGCTGAGCGACGACATCAAGAAGGGGATTTTGCTCGGCGCGCTACAGAACGAACGCGACCTGCAGAAACATGTCTTCCGAATCGGCGGAACCTGGCCACCTACCTCGACGTGAAGAACAAACGAGGTCCTGAGTGCCCTGAAGGCCCAGCGCAGCTTTGACGGCGATTCGATGGAGATCGGTGCGCTGACGGGAAAGCCGAAGGGCACAGGAAACGGCAAGGGTGACAAGGACGAAGACAATGATCATGCTACTAACAAGTTCGAGCCGGAGGCGAAGGACAGCCCGAACCACCCGAGGAAGTGGTGCAGTCTTTTCGAGAAGCCGAACCACGTCAAGGACGACCGCCGTAAGTTCAAGCGAGAGAACGAGGCCATGGCGGACGCGAAGAAGAAGGCCAACGATGGGCAGAAACAGCGCCGTGCCATGGGGGCAGCACTTGCCGCAGGTGGTGGCACGCTCCCTGGTGGACTTCCCCCTCCACCTGGGTGCGACGGCGCTGGCCAGCACTCGCAGCGACTCACACGCCGCGCAGTGCACGGGGAGCCGCAGTTGCCCGCCCCGACTTCATCGGGAGCAGCCTGGAGAGCGAGCACGACTCCGACGGTGCCGTCGGGCATGCGCGGGGCCAGCGGCTTCATTGCAGAGCAGGGCACGATCAAGCCGAAGTATAGATTCGCCCTGTCGGCGGAGCACTCGAGGCCGAGGGCGAGGTCGGCGGAGCCCAGTGGATCGAGGCGCAGCGCGGGCGGTGACAGCGTTTGCGTCTCAGGCATCCGCGGGGTCAAGGGGGTCGCGATAGATTCTGGGGCCCAGATCGCAGCGCGCCCTTTCGACGTGCTGAAGTACAAGGGCTACGTGCTCGCCAAGTCGGGCATCCCCAAGCTGCGGGCCATCGACGGCGCGGAGGCGCAGCACTGCGGCTAGACGGACGCGCGGCTGAAGCCGGGGCTGGACGTGATCCAGATTTCGGCGGAGGCTGCCGACGTGGAGTTCCCAGTGATGTCCACTGACGCGATTGCGAAGCAGGGCGTGTCGGCGATCCACTCCCCGGGGGGGCTGGATCGTGGGCAGCCCGATCTCACCCCCAGCATCGGCGAACAAGATGAAGCTGGGGGCGGATCGTGGCACGTGCTACCTGGAGTACGACGAGATGATGGGCGGCTCCTCCGGGGGCAAGCGGGCGGCGCGCATGGCGAGCATCGGCGGGCTGGGCGAGAGCATCGGCGGGCTGGGCGAGTTCATCGGCGAGCAGCTGGGCGAGGAGCTGTGCCTCAACGCGACGCGCGAGACCCTGCGCGCCCAGGGCCCAGCAACCGAGGCCCGACGGCAGCTGCCGACGGCGCTCGGGCCAGACCCCAGCGAGAACGCCACCTTGAAGGCGAAGGCGCTCGCGAGGCCTGGACAGCCCTCGGGCGAGGAGAGGCGGGCCCACGCAGTGCATCCATCATCTCCCTTTCAGGCCGCGGTGCAGCGACTGCGTCATGGGCCGCGCGAGGGGCGCCCCTCGCGAGGTGAGCACGCAGCCGAAAGGCGACGACGAGTACCCAGTCGTGGAGATGGACTTCTTCCTCGTGGCCACCGACGAGATAGCAAGGAAGTACCCCATGGTGAACGGCTACGTCGTGAAGGTCGACGACTTCAGGAAGCTGGAGCACAAGGGGCGCGGGGGGCTGCCCGCGACCTTGGACGTCGTGGACTGCAGGTCCAACGCCCCAGGCTCGCTCTTTGGCTCCAAGCACATGGGGGACTACAAGTCGCACTTCGTGGCCAAACTCATCGACAGCTTGGGCCGCGCGACGGTGATTCTGCTCGCGGACGGCGAGAATGCGATTGTCGCTCTGGCGGGGCAGGTGGAGAAGCTCAGGTCGCACTCTACGATAGCGCGGCAGGGCCCAGCGTACTCATCCAAGAGCACGGGGCACATCGAGGCCAGCAACGGAGCAGCGGCGGGACTACTCCGCGCGTTGCGGTTTTCACTCGAGACCAAGCTAGGCTGCAAGCTCGAGCTCTCGGACTCCGTCCTCGCCTTCCTCGCCAACACGGTCGGCTGGTACACCGCGAGGTTCCAGCCGAGAAGCCACGGAGGATCTAGCTGCAGGTACCTCTTCGGCCGCGAGTGCGCGGGCGAGGTGGCGGAGGTCGGCGAGCAGGTATGGCACCGCATCGCGGCTCGAGTCGCAGCGGGCTGGGGCAAGTTCGCGGCGCGCCTCGCGAAGGGCATCTGGGTGGGTAAGTCGGAGTTCGACGACCAGCGCCTGGTGGTCGACCTGCAGCGCGGCTTCTCGAAGGCCCGCTCGGTCCGCCGCATGCCTGAGGAGCTCCGCTGGAACGCTGGGCTCGCGAAGCAGATCGACGTCGCACCTTGGGCCCCTGTGCCTGAGCGAGTGAGGGCGAGCATCAGGAAGTCTACGTATATCACAGAGAACATGTCGAACACTTACGGCCCGACGGACAGCTGCCCGAAGTGCACCCACGGACGGGGCCAGCACAGCGAGCAGTGCAGGCAGCGCTCCGAGACCATCGCGCAGGAGAGGCTCGAGGCGAAGCTCGCGGAGGAGGCCAGGGGCGGGGCCGCCCCAGGCACTCCAGCGGCGCCGGGGCCAGCACCCCAGGCCCCCCCGCGCGTGCCTGCCGACGCGCGGGCAGCGGCCTCGAGTCCAGCGGCGGCAGCGCCCCCGACAGCACCCCCGCCAGTAGCGATCGCCTCGGCTTATTCTGCAGGGCCGGATTTTTCTGGCCTCCGCGCCTCTTGTCGTTGAGTCGGCCGCAGCATCGCCGCGGCAAATGGGAGAACATGTTAAATAGAGACTCGTGCTTGAAAGAAAGATTAAAGGCCCCATGAAAGCCCGCGCGGCCCGACGTAGATCAAGTAGCGCCAGCTCCGATAAACGTTCGCAAGGCAGGTCATGTCGTGCGCGCGTTCGACCAGCGCGACCCAGTCCAGCGCAACGAAGTCCAGGTCAATGCAGCCCCGCGTTTTGCAACAAGCTCGCTTTAGATCGCAGCCCATCGAAGCCCAGTGCAGTTCGGTTCTGCGTAGTCATCGAGCGGCGCACCAGTCCTGCGAAGCCTTAGCCGGCCCGAAATAGCACAGCTTAGCCCGATACCTTATCAGAGGGAAGTTCGATCCATTTTTGCTCCAGGCGGCCGCGGTCGAATCACGGCGGACGCAGTCCCACCGTTCAGGACCTTGTGTTGCGTGAAGTCTGGCGTGTTTTGAGTGCGCAATGGTGTTCGCTCCCGTGCCATTTGTGTTTTTTGCGCCTTGCTGGTGCTCTGGTTTGCCAAGAGGTGTCGTTCGATCATAAGAAGTTGTCTGGGCGTGCTTCAGCCATTATGTTGCCCCTCCTCTTTCTTCCCTTCCCCGGGCCCCCACGCGTTGAAGTTCGATTCGCGTGGTTATGCGGCTTCGTGCAGATGTGCTGGAAGACGCCCCGGGGCAGTGAAAAAATGCGCGTTCGCTTGCGTGTCCTCACCCTCGACTTCCTCGACTCTCCTTGTATTTCCGTCGGCGCGGCTCAGGTGTCGCTTCGTTATCAGAGGAGACCAAACTCCCTGCGTCGGCCCGCCTTTCTGCCTACTGCAGGCCGATGGGGTCCGAGAGGAGTTCGATCGGCATGGCCCGCCGATGGGGGGGTTCGGCGCCCGCTGCGACGCGCGCGCGATTGCCAGACCAGCGGGGGCCACCGCGCACCTCTCGCGTGACATAACGAGTCCGTCGTCGCGGTTTCTGCGCCCGCCCGCCCCGCGCTGACGCGCTACAACAGTTGCAATGATACGCCAGCGCGCGTGCGTAAAACGCGGCGGCGGCGCATTGGCGGCATCGAATTATCCATGAGGGCAAAGATTCCGGCGCCGATGGCGCAATGGCGCCGCTGGTGCCACATGTTCTATTGGGTCGCATCGACACGTCTTTATGTCCCAGCGAGGGCGCGACGCACATTGCCAATCAATGGGCGCGCAAGATGTCATGCCACAGGCGAACTTTGGAGGGGCAGCGGGGGGCACGACGTTCTTTTTTGCGTCGTTGCCTTTCGGTGCCGGGAGCATTTTGATCTTGCTCATTTCTTGGGCGGCGGGGGATGGGTGGGGCGCGCGGCGGGCTTGCAAGCGATTGGCGGGGCTGCGGGGGCTAAAGCCAGGCGCGCCTGGTGCCTGAACCCGGGCGCGGAATTCAACGTGGCCTGAACCGTGCTGCCCGGGGTGATGCCCGTGCTGCTTTTATTCTCGTCGCCGTCGTTTTCTGCCGCGTCCTTCTCTTCCTCCTGCGTTTTTTTGCCGACGCCGCTTCTTTTCCTTCTGCTTTTCTCGTCGCTCGATCGCATTCGCGCCCGGATTCCTGGCCAGTTTTCCCGGCCGAATTTCTCGGCCGGATTTTTGGCCGGATTCCTGGCCAGATTCCAGGCCGGATTTCCTGGCCGGATTCTCGCGTCGCACCGAGGCTGGATTCCTGGCCGGATTTCTTGGCCGATTTTATTTGGCGGTTTTGCCTGAGAGTTCGTCGAAAGAAAATTCGGCGCAAAAAATTCGGCGCAAAATTCGGCCCCCGCGCGCCCAATGCTCCACGAGAAAAATTCGGCGCGACGCCCTTGGAAGGGGTGCCCTGGCCGAAAAATATCGGCCGCTGGCGTGGCGGGCGGTTGCGTGGCCCCCGATGGGCTGAACGAAATTCGACCGTCACTCCCCGCGGGCCCAGAAAATCCGTTCGGTCAAATCGCTCAGGGATCAAGAAGTAAGTGGCAGTCTGTTCGGCAGACGAGTGGTCGCGCGCGCGCGGCAGTTATTTGAAGCAGCATGAGAATCGCATTGCCACTGACTTGTCGGGGCCAGCGGCCCATGGGATGGGGCGTGGAGGTCAAGGGCGCGGCTAGGTCAGGCGCGCCAATGTTTGATCGGACGCAAGAGGCGAGATTCCGCTGCCAGGGGCGGCCCGCGCGAAATTGGCAGTCATCCTGCGTCGGTTTTTTCAATGGAGTCCCGCTAAGCGCGTTTGGGTTTGACAGGGGAGGGAGGGCGACGGATAATGAAGGTGGACAACAACATTTTTTTGGGCAAAAAAAACAACGAAACAAAAACGCCAGTTTGGCTGTGCGCATCATGGCGACTTTGAGGGTCCATGAGACAGATGACGACGTCGATGTTCGTGTGAGTTGCCCGCCCTCGGCCTCGGGCGCTCGAGCGCCTCCGAAACCCATTGGGCGCCGTCCGACTCCGTGGGCGCTGGGCGTCCGGCAGAGGCTCCAGCTTCCTCCCATCCATTCGCCAGTCGCACCCGTTTTTCCCTGTTCGGTTCGACCGACTGATCGGTGGTCATGTTGCCACCGCACTTTGGCCCCGAGTCCCAGGCGAACTGATCGCCTTGCGAGGTCTGTGTGAACATGGTCATGGGGGTTCTTGGCGTTTCTCGGGGTGCCGCTTCTTGAAAGGGCGTTTCGGGAACAGAAGCGGCAAGCTTTTTCAGCGCGCACGAGTCGTCATTATTCGCCTGCGTTCGCGCGTGCGCTGCCGAGGGTGCAGCCTGGGCTACCAGCGTATCTACGCCCGTCCAGTCATGAACTCTTCCTCCCCTTCCTCCTTCTTACCGCCCCTCTGTGTTGGCCTCTTCTTGCTCTTGCGAAGTAGGTGCTCGGTGGTTTTCGCCCCCCCCCCCCCCGTGATTTCGATGAGTTGAGCATGACATGTGGGTCATTTGCGCGGACGCATTTGCCCGCAGTAGCAGCTGGGGCGTCCCAAAGTAGATTTTCGCGACGCGCTGGGGCCGCTTAGTCCGCGTGCGGGTGATGGGCGCCAAGTCGCCGATGCTCGCCCATGCGACGATTCTGCGTGGCGTTTTCGGCGGTCTTAGCTCACGCAGCAAACTTGCGCACGCGCGCGCGGTCGTTGAAATGCCCCTGCGCTGCCAGGGGCAACGCCCGATGATCGCGAGGGAGGTCTCGCACGTGCGGCCTCGCTGTTGCACCCTTTTTTTTTTCCTGGCGCGGTCCCGTTGGTTCGAATTTTGGCACATGCAGGGTTCGTCGATCTTTTCCCGTCATAACTGTTCGGTTTCTTGTATGTTGCGCTTGTTTTCAGCGGCGCTCGCGTTTGCCTGGAATTGGTTCATGAGTTCCTCGATGCGCCGACGGCCGTTTTTGAATTTCGCGCGTTGTCTTTTTGCGAGATATGCGTGGCGCAGTGCGGAGACCGCAGCACAGGCGATGCTGGTCACGCACGAAAGCCCTTCGCATTCGACGCGTTCCAAAAACATGCAATTTCAAAAAATATGTTATACAAATTCGTCATTTTCTTCTGCGCCCCGCCTCCTTGGTGAGTAGCGACGCCTGCGACCCCAGGGATGGGCGCGAGCGCGCCGAGGGCACTGGCGCGAGACCCCGTAGCAGAGACCTCGGAGCCGAACAAACGACCGAGGATCGGTGCGCTAGTGCAGGCGCCCGAGGTCGCGGTCATCGCGGGCCTCTCAGTCTGCGAGCTGGCGGTCTGCGAGGGGGAGGGCGACCAGGAAGAGGGCCCGCTCTGGGGCCCGATGCCGAGGGCTGAGGAGCGGTGCGAGGGCTCGTGCGAGGCGCACGTGGGCCGCTGTGCCTACCGACACGACCATGCTGGACAGCGTGCGCGCAGGAGATGTCTCATCGGCTGCGCCAAGAAGCTCAATCCAGACGCCGAGGTCGTTGCGAGCCCGTGCGCATTGTGGTCGAGACGTAGGGCGCGCGAGCAGCCCGACTGGAACCTTGACCCGAACTCGCCCGAGCCGACGGTGAAGATCCACTGCGGTTACTACGCGGGCGAGCCCCTCGACGAGGAGAAGTGCCAGAAGGGCAATGCAGACGAGCTCCAGGCCATGGCCGGGCACGGCGTCTACCGCAAGATCCGCATCGCGGACTGCGAACCTGGTGGCAAGCACGTCGGGGGCTTCCTCCCCATCGCGCGCGAGAAGGCTGGCGAGGTGCGCCGGCACTTCGTGGCGACGGAGGTGGCCCACCAGCACCGCGAGGACAACCATCAGGGTACACCGCCACTCGCGATGATTCGCGCGATTCTCAGCTTGGCGGCCAGCAAGCCCGACAGTGACGGACAACACCGACGGTGCATCCTCATCTGGGATGTCCGCAAGGCGTTCAACAGCGACCTGACCGAGAAGATATGCGTCCACCCAGGCAGCGAGCTGTGCGAGCGAGGCTACTGCTGGGAGCTGTTCAAGGGTTCGAGGTCCTGTACGGGGCCCGACTGGCCTGTCAGCTGTGGGGCGAGACCGTGAAGGCTACCTCGGACGACTCTGGAGGCAAGGCGCTGAAGTGCGCCCCTGGCATGTTCTACTTCGCCAACCTCTGCGGCGACGGCAACGACACCACGATGGGGGTCCACGGCGGCGACTTCACTGCGGAGGGCCATGTCGGGACGCTCGACCAGCTGGATGACGTCCTGAGCGTGGAGTACGAGATCACCTCATTACCGCCGCTGGGGCCTGGGCACCCTGGAGTTGCCCGCTACCTGAAGCGCGTCTGCGGCTACGTCGACCAGCTGCCCGAGACGATGCTGCCGGGCTTCTTCTGGCACGCGGGCCCGAAGCTCGCGACGGAGATCATCAAGTTCGGATCCAAGGAGGGCGCCAAGGCGGTCGACACCCCAGGCGCCAAGGCGATCGGGGCGCGGCTACGTAACGCGACGGGCCCGATGCCCGCGACCGAGGCACGCAAGACAGCATCAGCGGGAGGCCTCGCGCTCTACCTGGCGGCGCATCGGCCCGACATCATGTTCGCGAGCAAGACCGTCATGCAGGACGTGAGCAAGCCGAACTATCATACGAATGCGAGGCTCATGCGGCTAGCCCGATACCTTGAGGGACACCAGGTACTAGTCTGGTGCTACGAGCTGCAGGCCCTGCCGAGTATCCTGAGGGCCGACGGCGATGCAGACTGGGCGGCGCCGACGGCGGTGGCACGCAAGAGCGCATCTGGAGGCGCGATCAGGTTCGGCAATCACACCTGGGAGTGATGCTCGGCCAGCCAGGCCACCCAGGCTCTCAGCCGCGGCGAGTCGGAGTTCTACGCGCTCGGCTCGGTCGCGGCGCGGGGCTTGCAGATGAAGCTCTTCCTGGGCGAGGTCGGGATCCAGGTTCGCCTGGTGGTGGCCTCGGACAGCGCGGCCGCGCGGGGCATGGCCCATCGGCGCGGAGTGGGCAAGGTCCGCCACGTGGAGCTGCGCTACCTCTGGATCCAGGAGCGGCTACGACTCCATCTGTTCGTGCTCGTGAAGGAGGACACGCGCAGGATGGTGGCGGACATCCTGGCGAAGTATGTTGACGAGGAAAGCATGGCGACGCACCTGCGCGAGCCGAGCCTGAAGGTGACGGGCGCAGCCATGATGCCTCTTCGGGCCTCTTTTGGGCCTCTTGGGGCTTCCGGAGGCCGTCTTCGGCGCATCTTGGGGGCGTCTTGGCGCCGCTTGGGGGCCTCTTGGGGCCTTTTGGGGGCCTCTTGGGGCTTCCCGGGGGCCTCTTAGGGCGGAAGTCTCGAATTCTCGGTTCCTCGTCCCCCTCTTGGCCGTTTCTTGGGCCCGTCTTGGGGCCCTATTGGGCCGTCTTGGGCGCCTCTTGGGCTGTCCTGGGGCCTTCTTGGGCCGTCTTGGGGCCCTCTTGTAGGCCTCTTGGTGCGCTCTTGGGGGCCTCTTGGGGGCCTCTTGGGCCGTCTTGGAGTGTCGGAAAGCCGAAAAGGCGAGAAGGCCAAAATCATTCAAAAACCGATGTAAAATTGACGATTTTGGCTCCTGGGGCCCTCTTGGGAGTGCTCTTGGGGCTCTCTTGGAGCGTCTTGAGGGCCTCTTGGGCCGTCTTCGGGCCGTCTTGGGCGTCTTGGGGTGATCGCTCGTCGAGTCGAGGCCCTCTTGTACCCTTTTGGGGGTGTCTTCTGGCGCTCTTGGCTCGTCTTGAAGCTTTTCTGAGCTCCGGGACCCCCCGGGGAGGATGCGTATCTGGGTGGCGACCCCCCCCCCCCCGGCGGGGAGGGTAGGGAGGGGCTTCGCCACGACTCAACTACGACGTTGCTCAATGTCGCTTTGGCTCGCGCGCTCAAGGAGACGGGGAACGACGAAGACGACGAGGGACAACGGAGACGGAGACGACGAGGACACGACGGACACGACGACGACGACGACGACGACGACGACGACGACGACGACGACGACGGTGATCCACGCAAGACGACGACACCGGGATGCGTCTTCCACACGCCGACAGGGTCGGCGGATTCTGCACAGCGTGTCTGATATGGCGGTCATTGTCAGAGCCTTGCGAGCACGTTGACTTCTCCGCCCAAGTCTGTGCCGTCGCCAGCGCCCACCGCGCGCCTGGGAGGCACCGCGCGCACGGGGCCCGGGCGCTGGCCCGAGCTCGCCGCCCGCGGGCGGCCGAGGGCGCTGCCCATGGCGGGCCTTCTGCCGCCCTGCGGTCGGCGTGCCGGAAGTCCGAGCCCTGCCCTCGCCGATCAACGGCTCAGGCGACTCGATGGGTTCGGAAGGCGTCGAGTCGGCGTCAACCCAACATACTTCTACTATATGTGTGTCGCCCCCCAGGGGCGACGCGCGCACCGAGAAATCTTACAGTATATGGCCACACCGCTCGAGAAACGGTATACTACAAGATGGGTATACTATATGTTCGGGTCGGACGCGCACCTCCGAGGCGGACATATCGTATTAGCATGTCTGTGTGCGTCCCATCGAGCACGCGGCGAAATCTGAACCCTGCCCTCGCCTCCCGTCGACTCAGGAGGATCGATGGTTGGGGGGGGGGGGGAGGGTTCGGGTGTCGCCAAATATTCAGGTTCCTGGAATGAGCTGTTTGTCGCACTCCGCAGGGTGCAGTGCGAAAGGATCTGACCGTGATACGCTGGTCTCGCGAAGGTATCTCTCGGGGGCCCGTGCCGCGGGGCCTAGCCAGATCCTGGCGCGCTCTGTCGGTACTGCGAAGCGCCCGAAGCGCAGCAGTGCGAGGCAGTGGTTGCAAATACACGTCCGAATGCAAGCTTGGCTCAGGCGCTCAAGCCTGCGGCCTGCTTCAGCCCGACGGAGGCAATGTTCCGCCCGAGCAGGTGGATGTAGCAGCGCTGCCCCTCTCGGGCGCATCGCCCACCCAGGGCCGCACCACTCCACCGCGAGGCCGCCAAAACTAGTTCGCGGCCGCGCTCCTGATCGCGAAGCAGCTGGAGGGGCCAGCGCTGTCGCCGGCGCCGTCTGTCAGGAGCCTATGCCCAAAGAGGCCTCTCGGAGTGCAGTGACGCCCCCGCCTGTGGACCCGGAGGAGAGCACCGCCAGTTCCGCCACGCCCAGGGTGTCTATCGGCGACTTGCCGCGTCTCCCAGACCGAGGGCCAGGCTACCGGTCGGAGCCCCGGCTAGGGTGCTGCATCGTCTCGGTGATCGCCGTGGCGTGCTTGGCTGGCATGCACGCCAAGTGCCTGGTACAGGTGGCCGACTCCGGCCTGGAGGGTGTGCCCCAGCGCATGAGGTCGTTGCTGGCGCTGGTCTGGGCCGAGGCCGCCGCCGCTGTGCTCTCCACCCTGTACATCTTGTTCGGCGGCGCTGGGGTGATCAGGCGGGGGCCAGGCACCTGCTACCCCATGCCTTCGGAGGTGGAGGAGCTGCTGTGCAGCGGCCAGACCACGGAGGGTCTGGACAACATCAAGGGCAACGGGCGGCCTGGCATGCCGGACGGAACATATTGCGTGCGTTGCTTGGTCTGGCGGTTGCAGGAGCAGAAGGCCCACCACTGCAACATTTGCCAGCGATGCGTCGCAGGTTTCGACCACCACTGCGGCGTCTTCGGGCGCTGTATCGTCGCAGGGAACATGGCGTGCTTCATGTGCCTCATCCTCATGCTATTTGCCAGTGGCATCACTGTGCTGATTGCAGTAGCCTCCGACGGCGACTCTGGCATCACGCTCGAGTCCGACAATTCCAGCTTTGCACCTCCGAGGCGTCGGTGATCCGACTGTACTCCGACGTGCATTCCGCGGCATCTCGGCCTTTGTGCGCCAAGGGCGGGCTCATGAGGCCCCCACGCCATCGCCGCCGGTTTCCTCAATGAGCTCGCCTAGCACGCCATTGTGGGTGTGACCCCCTCAGAGAAACGCGCACACTGACTCTATTCCCCATGTGGCGCCGGCACCCTTCCCTCCGATGCATGTCGGAGGGTCTGAAAAAAGGATGTTCTGCCAAACCAGCCGCGGATCGAAACATTCTCGATTTTTCGTCTTCTCCCGGGTTTGGTGCAAAACCACGTTTTCGACTGCGCGACACATTCGCGCGTAAGATGCCCGCGTAATGTCGCGCGTAAGCGCTCTCGTTTCCAATGCAGCGTGCCGCGCTGGCAGCCCGCCCAAGTCGCGGCGTAAGGTCGCCACGCCATCTTGCGTAAGATCCTTCTTTGTTTGTCGCTCAGGTGAAATGTTCGAAGCCTTGGTCAGCAGTGTCGGCCCGGACGAAAGGGGGGGATTGGGAAAGGGGGGGGTACGAAATCTGCTGCATGCAGCTGGTTTCGGCCTCGCCGAGGGGCCCATGCCTCGATACATAGCCGCCTCCAGCGCCGGGAGGCGCCGGGAAAATCAGCTACGTGAGCTGATTCTCAAACCCCCCCTTTGCTATCCCCCCCTTTCGCCCGACCCGACAGTGCCCTGGTTCAGGGGGTCCCGGGCGTGGTGTGCACCTCCCCCCGTGCCATGCAGTGGGCGACAAACACCTTCCGCCTCCGCGGCCTGCCCCTGGGCCGCGCCCCCACAGCCACGGGGCGCTCTTGCGATGATGCCCTGCGCGGAACGTATCCGTGCGACCGCATATCCGCCGGATCGCTCCCTTCAGGAGCGAAAGAAGGACGTACACGTACATGAATCCACGCTGGTTTCGAGAGTACGCATTGCGCAAATGTTCGTATCACACGGCCAGTCTCGCGGATCGAGGGGCCGTGTTCATGTACATAGCTCGGCGCGTACATCCTTTGTGGGCTCCCTATCCCTGGAGTCCATCGGCTACACGTGAGAGTGACCTTTCGCTGGAGTGACCCTTGGTGCGGGCCCAAGGGGCTCCCCCGATCGCTGAGCGCGAAGCGGCAGCCGCGGCCTGCGCGCCCAGCTGTGGCCACCCCGCGTCCCCCGTGCAGCTGCGCACCAGAGGTCACTCTTACCCAGGGTCACTCTCACGCGTAGCCGAATCCAGTCCCCGAGGGCGTGGATATGGATACGCTCGCCGCTCGTGAAGTGGGGAGGACCTGCACACTTCGCAGGTCCCCCGGGTCCATGGGCGCCGCAGGGGTCTGCTCCTGGGGGCACGTCCCAGTGGGTGATGCCAGGATGCGTCTCCTGGGAGGTTAGATTCAGTATCGGCGCTGGTACATCTGGGGTCGGAAGCCAGCTCAATCTGGCAAAATCCCGCTCATGTCGGTCTGGTACCGTTTAAGTTGGCTTAGTCCCAGGCTTTGGCCTAATCTGGCTGTGTGTGTTGTGGCGCTTGGATTTGGTTGTCATGGCCCTTACATCATCGTTCCTAAAAAGACTTCCGCAGTGGCCTTCTAAGATGCTAAGTGTGTTGGAATTGAGCATCCCTGAAGCTCCTCCCTCCTCCCTCCGTCCCTACCTCATCTCTCCTCCCTCCTCCCTCCTCCCTCCCGTTCCCCCGCCGCTGCAGGCTCGCTATGCAGCCTCAGAGTTGCATCTCTCTCTTCGAGTGCTTCGAAATGATCTTGCATTGCGCTTGATTATCGTGTAGTTGCTGGCTGTTATACAGGCTGTCACGGAGCTTCAATTGGTCATACGGTCATAAGGTCATTCCCCCTCTGCCCGCGCGTGCGGTGGGCCTCACGTGCTTGCGCACGCACACACACAAACACACACACACACACACACACACACACACACACACACACACACACACACACACACACACACACACACACACACACACACACACACACACACACACACACACACACACACACACACACACACACACACACACACACACACACACACACACACACACACACACACACACACACACACACACACACACACACACACACACACACACACACACACACACACACACACACACACACACACACGCAGGCGCTATGGAAGTCGAAGTGGTCACGGAGTCCAAGAAGCGTGCTGCTGAGCTTGATGGCCTCATCCAATCGCTCGCTAAGGTCCGCCCTGCCACGCCCGAGATCGACCTGGTCCTGCAAAGGTACAGGGGTGAGCGAGAGGCGCTACGTGGCACCATTTTCCAAGCCAAGCCAGAGTCGCAGTTGCAGCGCTGGCAGTCCACCCAGGAAGAGAAGAGGCAAAAGATCGCCGAGCTCCAGCAAGAACACGCAGATCGTGAGAAGCAGATCCAGGACTCGCGTGCCACCCTCTGCGAGCTCCAGGCGGAGCGTACCAAGATCTGCGATGCCGCTGCCGCCACGGCACCCCTACCTGAGCCTCCTGCCGCTGGTGGTGCTGCTGATGATCGGTGGAGTCTTACGAAGATGGCCCACGTCCTGGAGCAGATGGGACTGGCAACTGGCCTTCAAGAGAAGGTGCAGGGAGTGGTGCAAGAGATCAAGGCAGAGGATGCCAAGATCCAGGAGGCCAAGCGCCTCCAAGCGATGCAGGAGCAGCAGGAGCGTGACGCTCGGAAGGCTGCAGAGGATGATGCCGCCGCTCAGGCAGCCCAGCAGCGAGCAGGAGCAGCAGCCTCAGAAGACGAGGATGTCAACGCAGCCACGACCGAGGAGCTGCGGGAGTACCTCAAGAAGTGCGGCATGGAGGTGCTGGCAGGCAGCTCTGATGATGATGATGATGATGATGATGATGATGATGATGATGATGATGATGATGATGATGATGATGATGATGATGATGATGATGATGATGATGATGATGATGATGATGATGATGAGCTCCGCGCTACTGTCAAGCGCATTCGCGCCGTGCCCTCTTGGCAGGAGGCTAAGCGCCTCAAGTCGCAGTGATCTGGTTGACGTCATGATGATGCCCTTTCCAGAAACAAAGCCAGCTGAGGGCCAGCTCAGTGGTACGGCAGCAGTGTCCCATGCCGATCATGTTTGCCACGGTGGGTTGTCAATCTCATAAGCGTCAGTTGGGCTATTGGAGCCGACCCCGTATGCCCAGGGGAAAGGGCTGACTGCATGCGAGGCCCACCGCGGTGGGGTGGCCGATGCCCTCGCACATGATGCTGCACCTGGCGGCCTGGTGAGGCGATGCGACGCTCGCACCGTCGCCCTCCCAGTAAGTCCGAGCGAGGCCCACCGCGGTGGGGTGGCCGATGCCCTCGCGCATGTTCTTCCCCCTGGCGGCATGGTGAGGTGCAGCGACGCTCGCCACGTCGCCCTCCCTGTAAGCCCGAGCGAGGCCCACCGCGGTGGGGTGGCCGATGCCCTCGTATATGAAGGAGCGCTTGGCGGCCTGGTGAGGTGCAGCGGTGCTCGCCCCACCGCCCTCCCTGTAAGCCCGAGCGAGGCCCACCGCAGTGGGGTGGCTCAAGCCCTCGCACATGGAACCACTGCAGGCAGCATGGTGAGGTGCTGCGGTGCTCACCCCATCGCCCTCCCTGTGAGCACGGGCGTAGACCACCGTGGAGGGGTTGCTGATGCCCTCCGCGATGCTTGCCCAGACGTGGCTGGTGGCGTGCTCCACAACATGGATGATGACGGCGACCCCTTTGAGGACCTCGACAGGCAGCCGGGGGACCATGAGGCGAACGAGGAGCCAGTGCCGCCACCAACGCCACCCATGGGGAGGTCGGCGCCGCCCGAGGTGCTAGTCTCTAGGAGCAACCAGGAGCCAGGAGTAGGAGGTGGGCGACGCGCGGCGGCCCTGGCCGATCAACAGGACGCACCAAAGGTGGAGGCAGATCGTCGGGGTTTGCAGGTGATCACCGTGAATGCCAACTCCTACGGCTCGCTCACCAAGTACCTCGCCAGGTGCACGGCTGACGTGGCCCTTGCCCGAGAGGTGCACGCTCAAGGGGCCAAGTTGCACGAGGTGCAAGGTGGCGCCCTCGACGTCGGCTGGAAAGGCCAGTGGATCGATGAAACCTCAACGTGTGAGGGTGGGTCGGAGGGTGGCATCGCTGTGCTGGCTCGGTCACCCAGGCCCCCTTCCTCGAGAACGGCGTGATCTGCGCAGGCCGCATTGGAGCGGGCCTCGTCCATGCTGGCCAGCGTGGGGGCATCGCCATGGTCTCGATCTACCTGCACACAGGAGAAGGTCGCACCCCGAGGAATTTAGCCCTGCTGTGGGAAGCGTGCAAATACGTGCGACGAGTTGCCGCCGCAGGTTACTCTTGGCTGATCGCTGGAGATTTCAATATGTCACCATCAGAGTTGTTGGAGCATGACTGGCTACACATGATCCAAGGGAGGTGCTGTGTCCCTGACCACCCCACGTGCTTGCAAGCCACGCCAGGCACCACGATTGATTTCTTTATCCTCCACAGCTCGCTGGTGGACGACGTGCCCTTCCAGGTCGCTGCGCAGTGTGGCGCATCGCTCTGGCCGCACCAGCCTGTGATGCTATACCTGCCCAAGGATAGGCTCCAGCTCAAGAAGAGGGGGCTCAAGCAGCCAAGGGGATTTCCCAAAGTGGCGGCGCCTGGATGTGCCAGGTTCCCCATCGACTGGAACCCGTTCTTTGTCTGCATTGAAGGTGCCGACACGCCAGAGGACCTCACCCAGGCCTGGGATATGCTGCTGGCTGGCATCCTGGCCAACCGTCACGGCCTGATCGGCATCAGACGGAAAGATTACCTGGGCAGAGCTGGTGCACCTGAGCTTCGTGACAAGGCAGTGGCGTGGGCGCCCGCTAGGCCGCGTGCGCGGCATGGGCGCAACGCGACGGCGTGGGCTGTAGCGGCCAGATGGGCCCATCACCTCATGTCAGTCCAGGCCGCTGTCGCCAACAGGATTGCTGAGGTAAGCGGCAACCCT